AAATGGAGTTGTAGAAAAAATATTGTTTGCGACTCGGGCGCGAAATACTTTGGTGATTTCGACTATTTTTTTAACTCGGCTACGCGGAAATAATTGAAAAAAAATAATCTAAGAAAATAAAAGCCAGAAAAAAATTTTCTAAGAAAAAAAACGCCGAAAAAAAATAATTGTAAAACGGAAAAAAGGGAAAAAATAATTTAGGCAAATTAAAGCCGAAAAAATTTTCTAAGAAAAAAGACGCCGAATACAAAAATAACAAAAATCATAAAAATTTACAAAAATCAGAAAAATCACAAAAATCATGAAAATTTCAAAAATCATAAAAAATTACAAAAAAAAAGTTGTAAAAGAAAAAATATTTTAATTATACAAAAATCACGAAAATCATAAAAATTTACAAAAATCACAAAAATCGTGAAAATTTCAAAAATCATAAAAATTTACAAAAATCACGAAAATTATAAAAATTTACAAAGATTATAAAAATTTAAGAAAATTCCAAAAAATCGAAAATCATAAAAAATTACAAAAATCATAAAAATTTAAGGAAATTACAAAAGATACAAAAATTCGAAAAAATCATGAAAATTTCAAAAATTATAAAAAATTTTCATAATTTTTGTAATTCAGAAAAATTAAATTTTCAAAATTACAAAAAATACAGAAATTCGAAAAAATTATAAAATTCATAAAAATCATAAAAATTTAGAAAAATCATGAAAATTTTGAAAATTATAAAAATTTACAAAAATCATAAAATTTAAGAAAATTAAAAAAATCACGAAAATCATAGAAATTTACAAAAAACATGAAAATTTCAAAAATCATAAAATTTACAAAAATCATAAAAATTTAAGGAAATTACAAAAGATATAAAAATTTGAAAAAATTACAAAAAACATGAAAATCATGGAAATTTAAAAAATCATAAAAATTTACAAAAATCCTAAAAATTTAAGAAAATTACAAAAATTACGAAAATCATAAAAATTTACAAAAATTATAAAAATTTAAGAAAATTACAAAAATTCGAAAAAATTACAAAAATGACAAAAATAATAAAAATTTATAAAAATCACAAAAATCATGAAAATTTCAAAAATCATAAAAATTTACAAAAATCACTAAAATCATGAAAATATGTATCAAAAATTATAAAAATTTACAAAAATTACAAAAATTATGGAAATATCAAAAATCATAAACAAAAATCATAGAAATTTATGAAAATTACAAAAATTCGAAAAAAATATAAAATTCATAAAAATCATAAAAATTTAGAAAAATCATGAAAATTTTAAAAATTTAAAAATTTACAAAAATCATAAAATTTAAGAAAATTAAAAAAATCACGAAAATCATAGAAATTTACAAAAAACATGAAAATTTCAAAAATCATAAAATTTACAAAAATCATAAAAATTTAAGGAAATTACAAAAGATATAAAAATTTGAAAAAATTACAAAAAACACGAAAATCATGGAAATTTAAAAAATCATAAAAATTTACAAAAATCCTAAAAATTTAAGAAAATTAGAAAAATTACGAAAATCATAAAAATTTACAAAAATTATAAAAATTTAAGAAAATTCCAAAAAATCGAAAATCATAAAAAATTACAAAAATCATAAAAATTTAAGGAAATTACAAAAGATACAAAAATTCGAAAAAATCACGAAAATCATAAAATCACGAAAATCACAAAAATCATGAAAATTTCAAAAATTATAAAAAATTTTCATAATTTTTGTAATTCTAGAAAAATTAAATTTTCAAAATTACAAAAAATACAAAAATTCGAAAAAATTATAAAATTCATAAAAATCATAAAAATTTAGAAAAATCATGAAAATTTTAAAAATTATAAAAATTTACAAAAATCATAAAATTTAAGAAAATTTAAAAAATCACGAAAATCATAGAAATTTACAAAAAACATGAAAATTTCAAAAATCATAAAAATTTTACAAAAATCATAAAAATATTAAGGAAATTACAAAAGATATAAAAAATTTGAAAAAATTACAAAAAACACGAAAATCATGGAAATTTAAAAAATCATAAAAATTTACAAAAATCCTAAAAATTGAAGAAAATTACAAAAATTTCGAAAATCATAAAAATTTACAAAAATTATAAAAATTTAAGAAAATTACAAAAATTCGAAAAAATTACAAAAATGACAAAAATAATAAAAATTTATAAAAATCACAAAAATCATGAAAATTTCAAAAATTCGAAAAAGTTACAAAAATCACTAAAATCATGAAAATATGTATCAAAAATTATAAAAATTTACAAAAATTACAAAAATTATGGAAATATCAAAAATCATAAACAAAAATCATAGAAATTTATGAAAAGTTACAAAAATCACGAAAATCATAAAAATTTACAAAAATCACGAAAATTATAAAAATTTACAAAGATTATAAAATTTAAGAAAATTCCAAAAAATCGAAAATCATAAAAAATTACAAAAATCATAAAAATTTAAGGAAATTACAAAAGATACAAAAATTCGAAAAAATCACGAAAATCATAAAATCACGAAAATCACAAAAATCATGAAAATTTCAAAAATTATAAAAAAATTTCATAATTTTTGTAATTCAGAAAAATTAAATTTTCAAAATTACAAAAAATACAAAAATTCGAAAAAATTATAAAATTCATAAAAATCATAAAAATTTAGAAAAATCATGAAAATTTTAAAAATTATAAAAATTTACAAAAATCATAAAATTTAAGAAAATTAAAAAAATCACGAAAATCATAGAAAATTACGAAAATCATAAAAATTTACAAAAATTATAAAAATTTAAGAAAATTACAAAAATTCGAAAAAATTACAAAAATGACAAAAATAATAAAAATTTATAAAAATCACAAAAATCATGAAAATTTCAAAAATTCGAAAAAGTTACAAAAATCACTAAAATCATGAAAATATGTATCAAAAATTATAAAAATTTACAAAAATTACAAAAATTATGGAAATATCAAAAATCATAAACAAAAATCATAGAAATTTATGAAAATTACAAAAATTCGAAAAAGTTACAAAAATCACGAAAATCATAAAAATTTACAAAAATCACGAAAATTATAAAAATTTACAAAGATTATAAAAATTTAAGAAAATTCCAAAAAATCGAAAATCATAAAAAATTACAAAAATCATAAAAATTTAAGGAAATTACAAAAGATACAAAAATTCGAAAAAATCACGAAAATCATAAAATCACGAAAATCACAAAAATCATGAAAATTTCAAAAATTATAAAAAAATTTCATAATTTTTGTAATTCAGAAAAATTAAATTTTCAAAATTACAAAAAATACAAAAATTCGAAAAAATTATAAAATTCATAAAAATCATAAAAATTTAGAAAAATCATGAAAATTTTAAAAATTATAAAAATTTACAAAAATCATAAAATTTAAGAAAATTAAAAAAATCACGAAAATCATAGAAATTTACAAAAAACATGAAAATTTCAAAAATCATAAAATTTACAAAAATCATAAAAATTTAAGGAAATTACAAAAGATATAAAAATTTGAAAAAATTACAAAAAACACGAAAATCATGGAAATTTAAAAAATCATAAAAATTTACAAAAATCCTAAAAATTTAAGAAAATTACAAAAATTACGAAAATCATAAAAATTTACAAAAATTTAAGAAAATTACAAAAATTCGAAAAAATTACAAAAATAATAAAAATTTATAAAAATCACAAAAATCATGAAAATTTCAAAAATCATAAAAATTTACAAAAATCACTAAAATCATGAAAATATGTATCAAAAATTATAAACTTTTACAAAAATTACAAAAATTATGGAAATATCAAAAATCATAAACAAAAATCATAGAAATTTATGAAAATTACAAAAATTCGAAAAAGTTACAAAAATCACGAAAATCATAAAAATTTACAAAAATTTTCTTAATTTCCATGAATTTTTCGAATTTTTTGTAATCTTTTGTAGTTTCCTTAAATTTTTATGATTTTTGTATATTTTACAATTTTCGTAATCTTTTTTAATTTTAATTTTTTTTTTTTTTGAAATTTGCATGATTTTTGATTTTCCTAAATTTTTAGAAAATTCAAAAAATTGAAAAAATTGAAAAGAACTTGATAAATCCAAAAAAATTCAAAACTTTGAAAAAAATTGAAATGAAAATTCAAACAGGAAAATGAAAAAAATTGAAATATCGACTATTTTTTTAACTCGGCTGCGCCTCGTTAAAAAAATCAGATCTCGATCACGTACAAAAATAACTGTTTTCGAACTTTTGAAAATTTAGTTAATTGTCCAGAATTTTTCCTGGAGTGAATTTTTACTGGAAAATTTTGAAATTTTGTTATAATGAGCTTTTAACTTTTCTCTTTCTCTCCAGAGAATTTCATAATTTTCCCTTGGATAGTTTTCCGAAAAAAAATTAATTTACAAGAAGGTCAACCTATATTGTTCACTTTTACCTATTTTTCTAGTTTTACGTTTTTCTGTTGAGACCTTTTAGGGCCGATACTTTTGTTGCTTTTGCTGTCGATTAACGAATTTGATACGTTGTCAAAGTTTTGCATGGGCCAAGAATTATGATGTGGTTAGAGCACATTTTAAGCCCTGATTATTTTTAACGGCTGTCAAATGAAAGCAAAAGTACCGGCACGTAGAGTAATTTATTTTAAAACGTAACATTAACTCATGTCCATTTATTTTCAAAATACATATGTAAGAGATAAGATATGTAATAAATGCACCAATGCAAAATAGACCTTAGGATCTGATTTTCTATCCAGCTCCAACCACCAAAACTAGGTGACCCAAAATCTAATCCTGTCTAGCCAATTAAAATGTAATTTTCTCTTGCAAAAGGAATTCCCTTACTCACTAATGACTTTACAGCTTATAAATAATAATGTTGAATTTCCTAAATCAACAGTTTAGTTGAAAGCCTTGTTGTTACTTGAGATTTTTTTTACAGCATTCATAATAATGTGTTTCAACTTCATCTTCACGCTAACATCTTTGGCGTTGGTACACGAAAAAGTACCAGACAAGGACGCCTATGGTCCGTTGCCGGACGTTTTCCTGGACAACGTCCCAAAGTACACCTGGGCTTTGGACGTATCCGAATACATCATCATATTTTGCGTCAACACTTGTATGATCGCCATGGTATTTCATAAACATAGGTAAGAATTTTTTTCAAAAAAATATTGAACTATTATTATTATACAATCCGTAGTCCAGAAGTAAAGGTAAATTTATCACCTCTCCCTATCAAATAACACTGAAAGGTAATAAATTTTAACCTTTACCTGTGTTCATCGGATTATGGATAGATAATATATGTATTGTATTTTCTTTTAGGTTTATAGTATTTCGTAGAATCTTCCTGATAATGTCGTTGCTATACATGTACCGAGCGATTACGATGTACGTTACAGTTTTGCCTATGTCCAATCGGGACTATCCTTGTTCGCCAAAGTCCAATCACACGTCACCAAGACTCATAGCTCAACGTGTTTTGCATTTGATGAGTGGGTTTGGACTGTCTGTCAATGGAAAACATACTTTCTGTGGTGATTTCATTTATAGTGGACACACTGTCATTTTGGTCTTTAGTTATTTGATCATTTCTGAATGTAAGTATTTGTGAATTTTGTTCTAATCATATAAATACATAATCCTTTTATCTACCTAGACTTGATAATATTATACAGGGTGTCCCAGAACATGTGGGCAATCTCTCGGTTTCAGATAGAATACAAAAAAATAACATGACAACTTCCCATAAAAAAAAATTCCTACGACCCCCCCAAGAAAAAAAATTACACGAAGTATTTTGAAAGTTATCAACAAAAAAGCGATTTTCAGAGGCGTCCTTTAAGGGCACGTAACTTCGTAGGGGGGGCCGTAGGAATTTTTTTTTATAGGAAGTTGTTATGTTACTTTTATTGAGTTCTATCCGAATCCGAGAGATTGTCCACATATTCTGGGACACCCTGTATATATTTATATTTCTTTTCAGATACTCCAAAAAAATTCTTTCTGTTGAGAATCGTCCACTGGCTGTATTGGATAATGGCAGTCATTGGTATATTAATGTTACAATTATCGCACGGCCATTATACCGTGGATGTGATTATAGCTTACTACGTCACCACTAGGATATTTTGGACGTATCACACGTTGGCGAATAATCCAAATTTAAAAGTAAGTAATCATACATATTATTTCTGTCTTAACACCTAGATATATTTTTGACATTAGATTTTTAACATGTTTTTTTAATTTAGTATCCATGAATATGACATTTGGTTTTTGGCAATTTGACACATTTTGACATTTTGTGATGAAAAATCAATCATGTGTAGAACAAAATAAGAAAAATATTTCATATTTTGACAATTACAGGCTCTTGATTGGCCAATCGAAAACAACGTTGCCATGTTGTGCAACTTCTAACAGAAATAACATTTCAAAAATTTACATTTTGTAGTTTATTATCAATAAATATGACATTTGTCTTTTGTCAAATTGACATATTCTGACATTTTGTGATGAGAAAGAAATAAAAAACCAATCATGTGTAGGACAGAATAAGAAAAATATTTCAAATTTTACTATTACAGGCTCTTGATTGGCCAATCGAAAACACTGTTGCCAATATCATAAAAATTTTCAAAAATCATGGAACTTTCCAAAAAACATGAAAATTTCCGAAAATCATAAAAATTCACAAAAAATCAGAAATTTATGAAAATCAATAATCATGATAATTTTCGAAAATCACATAAATTCACGAAAAATCATAGAAATTTACAAAAATTAAAGAAAATTACATAAGATCACAAAAATTCGAAAAAATTACAAAAATCACGAAAATCATAAAAATTTACAAAAATCATGGAAATTTCCAAAAATCATGAAAATTTATGAAAATCATAAAAATACATAAAAAATCATAAAAATTATAGAAAATTATGAAAAATTACATAGAAAAATAAAAGCATCCAGAATTTTTGGTCAAAAATATTCCTGAAATAAAATTCTAGACTTATTTATTTTTTTCCATATAAAATTCCAAATTTTTTTCAATTTTTGAAAGAAAATTCCAGAAACATTATTAAATGAATTAAATCACTAGTCGGGTTTATTTGAATTTTTTGAATTTTCTAAAAATTTTTTTTTTTTTGAATTATTCAACTTTTTTGAATTTTTCTCATATTTTCGAGTTGATGATTTTTTTTCTTAATTTTTCAATTTTTTCTAATTTTTCCATTTTTCAAAGATGTTTTTTAATTTTTTTCCAAGTTTTGAATTTTCTTGGTTTCGTCAGTTTTTCAAATTATGTAAATTTTTGATTTTTTGCAGAGTTTTGAATTTTTTTGAACTTTTTGAATATTATAAATATTCCAGAAATATTCGAATTTTCCATAGTTTTTAAAATTTTTCAAATCTTCATATTTTTCATTTTATTAAGTTTTAATAAATTTTTCAATATTTTTTGAACTCTTATAATTTTCTAAAAAATTTTGAATTTTTCAAATTTTGAATTTTTTTGAACTTGAAAGTTCTTTTGAACATTTTAAATTTTCTAAACCTTTTTGAATTTTTCAAGTTTTTAATTTTTTTTTAAATTCAATCCAATTTTTCAGTTTGAATATTTTTGAATTTTTATTTTGATTTTTTTTCAAAGTATGTATTGAATTTTTTGATAATTTTCAATTTTCTAGAAATTTTTGAATTTCTCATGTTTTCTGAATTTCTTTAAATCCTCTTATTAACTGGGAACAGTTAGGATTTTTGTAAAGTTTTTTTGAACATTTTAAATTTTCTAGAAATTTTTGAATTTTTTTAAATCCTTCCATTTTGAAGATTGAATTTTTTTAAATTTTTATTTTGATTTTGTAAAAAATTTCGAATTTTCCATGTTTTTTGAAATTTTTAAAAATCTTCAAATTTTTCAGTTTATCAAGTTTTATTAAATTTTTCAATTTTTTTGAACTCTTATAATTTTCTAAAAAAATTTTGAATTTTTCAAGTTTTAAATTTTTTCTATTTATTCAGTTTTTCAAATTATGTACATTATTTTGACTTTTTGTTAGCCCTTTTGAGTTTTTCAAAGTTTCTAGAATTTTTTGAATTTTTTAAGTTTTTTGAAATTTTCAAAATCCTTTTGATTTTGAACATTGAATTTTTTATTTAATTTTTCACAAAGTTTTGAATTTTTTTGAATTTGACAAGTTCTTTTGAATTTTTTGAACATTTTAAATTTTCTAGGAATTTTTGAATTTTTTAGGTTTTTTGAAATTTTTCAAATCCTTTCATTTTCTTGTTTGAATTTTCATTTCAATTTTTTTCAAAGTTTTGAATTTTTTAAAAGTCAGGTTTTTTTGAACTTTTTGAATATTTTAAATTTTCTAGAAATTTACAAAAACCACAAAAATCATGAAAATTTAAAAAAAAAACAAAAATTAAAGGAAATTAGAAAAGTTTACAAAAATTCGAAAAAATTACAAAAATCATTAAAGTTTACAAAAATCTTGAAAATTTCAAAAATCATTAAAATGTACAAAAATTATATAAATTCAAGGAAATTACGAGATATACAGAAATTGATGATTTGATTTTTGTAATTTTCTCAAAATTTAATGATTTTTGTAAATTTTTTCGATTTTCGTAATTTTTGTAATTTTTTCGTATTTTTGTAATTTTCTTAAATTTTCATGATTTTTGTAAATTTTTATGATTTTTGTAAATTTTTATGATTTTTGTAAATTTTTATGATTTTTGAAATTTTCATGATTTTTGTGATTTCTGTAAATTTTTATAATTTTTGAAATTTTTATGATTTTTGTAAATTTTTATGATTTTTCGAATTTTCCTAATTTTTGTGATTTTTGTAAATTTTTATAATTTTCGTGATTTTTGTAATTTTTTCGAATTTTTGTAATTTTTTTAAATTTTTATGATTTTTGAAAATTTTTATGATTTTTGAAATTTTTATGATTTTTATAAATTTTCATGATTTTCGTGAATTTTATGATTTTTTCGAATTTTTGAATCTTTTGTAATTTTCTTAAATTTTTATGATTTTCGTGATTTTTGTAGTTTTTTTGTATATTTCTTAAATTTTTATAAATTTTTATGATTTTTGAAATTTTCGCAATTTTTGTAAATTTTTTGATTTTCGTGATTTTTTCGAATTTTTGTAAATTTTTATGATTTTCCTGATTTTTTAGAATTTTTGTAATTTTTTTAAATTTTTATGATTTTTGTAAATTTTCATCATTTTTGAAATTTTCATAATTTCTGTGATTTTTTAAGGTTTCCGTGATTTTTATAATTTTTTCGAATTTTCATTATTTTCTTAAATTTTTATGATTTTTGATTCTTGTAAATTTTTTATGATCTTCGTGATTTTTGTAATTTTTTCGAATTTTTGTAAATTTTTATGATTTTTGAAATTTTTATGATTTTTGTAAATTATGTATTATGATTTTTGAAATATTCATAATTTCTGTGATTTTTGCAAATTTTTATGATTTTCGTGATTTTTGTAATTTTTTCGAATTTTTGTAATTTTCTTAAATTTTTAAAAATTTTCGTGATTTTTGTAAATTTTTTCGAATTTTTGTATCTTTTATAATTTCCTTAATTTTTTATGATTTTTGTAAATTTTTATGATTTTTGTAAATCAGAAAAGTCAAAAAAATTTCAAATTTACAAAAGATACAAAAATTCGAAAAAATTAGAAAAATTACGAAAATCATAAAAATTTACAAAAATTAGAAAAATTACAAAAATCACAAAATTCCTGAAAATTTCTAAATTTATAAAAATTTAAGAAAATTACAAAAGATACAAAAATCACAACAATCACAAAAATCAAAAAATTTACAAAAATCGGGAAAATTTCAAAAATAATAAGATTTAACAAAATTTTAAAAAAATACAAAAATTCAAAAAAAGCTACGAAAATCATAAAAATTTAAAAAATTACAAAAATTCGAAAAAATTACAAAAATCACAAAAATCAAAAAATTTCAAAAATAATAAAATTTATGAAAATTTTAAAAAAAAATACAAAAATTCAAAAAAACTACAAAATTCACGAAAATCATAAAAATTTACAAAAATCATTAAAATTTAAAAAAAATTACAAAAATTACAACAATCACGGAAATCAAAAAATTTACAAAAATTGCGAAAATTTCAAAAATCATAGAAGTTTATAAAAATTTAAGAAAAATACAAAAATTCGAAAAAATTACAAAAATCACAATCACGAAAATCAAAAAATTTACAAAAATCGTGAAAATTTTAAAAATCATAAAAATTTACAAAAATCATAAAAATTTAAAAAAATTACAAAAATTCGAAAAAGTTACAAAAATCACAACAATCACGAAAATCAAAAAATTTAGAAAAATCGTGAAAATTTCAAAAATCATAAAAATTTAAGAAAAATACAAAAATTAAAAAAAACTACAAAAATCACGAAAATTATAAAAACTTACAAAAATCTAAAAAAATTACAAAAATTCGAAAAAATGACAAAAATTATAAAAAATTACAAAAATCATAAAAATTTACAAAAATTCGAAAAAACTACAAAAATCACGAAAAACATTAAAAAAAAATTCAAAATTTACAAAAATCATAAAAATTTCAAAAATTATAAAAATTTAAGAAAATTAAAAAAATTCGAATAAATTATAAAAATAACGAGAATCATAAAAAATTTCAAAAATTACAAAAATCATGAAAATTATAGAAAATTTAGAAAAACTATGAAAATTTCAAAAATCATAAAAATTACAAAAATTCGAAAAAATTATAAAAATCACGAAAATCATAAAAATTTACAAAAATTACAAAAATTATGAAAATTTCAAAAGAATCATAAAAATTTTAAAAAATTACAAAAATTATGAAAATTTTAAAAATTAAGTATGAAAGTTTCAAAAATCATAAAAATTTAAGAAAATTACAAAAATTCGAAAAAATTATAAAAATCCCGAAAAATCATAAAAATTTACAAAAATTATAAAAATCACGAAAATTATAAAAAATTCAAAAATCATAAAATTTTACAAAAATTACAAAAGATACAAAAATTCGAAAAAATACAAAAACTTACAAAAATCATGAAAATTTCAAAAATCATAAAAATTTACAAAAATCATAAAAATTTAAGAAAATTACAAAAATTCGAAAAAATTATAAAAATCCCGAAAAATCATAAAAATTTACAAAAATTATAAAAATCACGAAAATTATAAAAAATTCAAAAATCATAAAATTTTACAAAAATTACAAAAGATACAAAAATTCGAAAAAATACAAAAAACTTACAAAAATCATGAAAATTTCAAAAATCATAAAAATTTACAAAAATCATAAGAAAATTACAAAAATCACGAAAATTAAAAATTGAAATAAACATATTCACTTTTAATGCAGCAAAAAAAGACGGAAATAGAGTAGAAATATTTGCTAGACTTTGTTCATACATTTGACAATGACTTATTGAAGTTTTGACAACTTTGAAAAACAAGTATGACGTATGCTGTACCAAACGTCGCATTATGCAATGTTGCCAGACTTCAACAATTTTACCTAATTCTATTTTTTTTATCTTTGCAGCAATTTTCCTCAAACAACTTACTTAGCCGTTCCTGGTGGTTCGCTCTCTTCCTCTATTTCGAGAGCAACGTTGGCGGCACGATCCCCCGCCAATTCGATTGGCCCTTGCCCTGGCCCCGCCGCTGGCAATCGAAAGGCAATCGAGCCAGTTAGTAGTTTAAATAATTTTATTTTCTATAAGTAAAAAAAAATCTTGTGATAATAATTAATTAATCAAATTTACTACCGGAGGATGTGAAACTGAGAGGTTTGTTTATATATTTATAATGTTTTATTTTTTCTAGCGAATATTATATAAAAAGAAATCAGCTTTTTTGGTTTTTTTGAATGATAATGATGAAACGTTGGCAACATTGCTAAATACATTATTAAGACTGAAATAATTGAATTTCACATCAATAAATAAACTGACGTTTTGTCTCCCTATTAACACCATCATCAATATTTTTTTCTAATTATGTATTATTATTATTATTATTATTGAAAACTCAAAAAGTGTTTCTTAAAAAATAAATTTAGATTTTTATATTTATGTATATGTATATATTTGAAGTAGCTTTTATATAAGAATCAAAAAATAATATATGTATATTAGATCTGAATAATTATAATGTATTTTCAGATAAATAAATAAAAAATAAAATTTACTGTGTTAGATTATATGTATTTTTAAGGAAGTCAAAAGGTAACGTGTGCACTTTTATCTACGACTCATAATATAATAAATTATTATTGAAGTTTGTTTGTGATTGTTGCAGGAACAGACCTATTTGCTTTGAATATAGATAGAGGTTTGTTTCAACAACAATTTAAATTGCACAATGGTGATATTTTGTTGTTTTTTAAATATTTTTCTAAGCAAAAATGAAATTGTTTTTTTTGTAATATTATAGAATAGTGCCTTTATATTGTAGATTAATTATTATTGTATTGGGTTTTATATATATATTTTCAAGAATCTCGAATTTTGATTATTATCATTATTGGGATTTGTTTCAAATGTGCCCTGGAACAAACCATTTATATTTACTGTTTAGTTATTGTTAATATTACTCCATCATCAAAACAGGTACCTGTGGGTAAATGGAACTATTACTGCACCCCAATTATTTATTTATTGAAAGACAATATTGACTTTTTCTTTTTTTTTATAGTTATTAAGTATTATTGATAAAAAAATAAATTATTTTTTTAATTGATTTTGTCGTTTGTTTTCTTGGTTTTTCCTTATTTAATTATTAAAAAAATTGGATTTGGAAATTTAATTGTTAAAAAAATTAATTTGATGTAGAAATTTGATGTGATTTAGCCAGGAAAGAAATTGGAGTCAAGTTGTACTTTTTTATTGAAAATTTACATGGAAAAATACGTAAAAAAAAATGTTATTCGTCTCGCTGTGTGTGTGTGTGTGTCTGTTCTACGCTTCTTTTTTGGTGTCTCTTGATTGGCTGTATTCTCTGATCGTGATTGGCCGTGTCGTCCATGTAGTTGGCGGCGCTGGCGTTTTACGATCAGCTGTTGATAATTTGGGCGGCTGAATTATTGTTTTAGGACGGGCGCAACAAAATTTAATTGTCAAAAAAATTAATTGTTAAAAAAAATTCGATTCGGAAATTTAATTATCAAAAAACAATTGAATTTTTAAACGCAATTATCAAAAAAAAAAAAATTGTTTTGTTACTTGTCAAAATAATTAATTTGATGTGGAAATTTAATTGTCAAAAAAATTTAATTCTTTCACAATTAATTTTCAAGAGGTAAACTTTTTTTGATAATTATATATTTTTTAACAATTAAATTTTTTTTTTGCAGTTGAACTTATTCGAAAATCAAACTTTTTGACAATTTATTATTTTTCAAAAAGCGAATATTTTGACAATTAAATGTTTAACAATTAATTTTTTTTGACTAATTATTTTTTTTTTTGACAATTAATTTTTTTTAAATAATTAGATTGTTATAATTTTTCAATGAATTTCTAAAAAGTTTCAACGAGTTTCCAGTGTTTCAACATGTTAAAAAAAAAACTTACTATATTTTTTCTATTTTTTTTTTTTTTGACTTTTTAAAGAACTTTTATTATTTTTCAAGGAGTTTCCAAAGAGTTTCAACGAGTTCTCATGATGTTCAAACGACTTTCTAGCATTTCTACATGTTGAAAAAAAACTCGTTGGGTTTTTTTAATTTTTGTTTTTGAATTTTCTAATGAATTTTGATTATTTTCCAATGATTTTCTAAAAAGTTTCAACGAGTTTTTATAATGTTCCAACAACTTTCTAGTGTTTCAAAATGTTGAAAAAAAAACCAAAGTGAGTGAAAAGTTGAAATTTTGGAGATTTTTTCCCTAAAGGTTCAGTGTAAAAAATACTAAAAATTCAAAGCCATTGAGTTATTATTAATGGAGTTATGATTTTTTTAAAATAATGATGTTTTATAAAGTAAGACTTTACAAACAATTTTTTTACTCAAAAAATTGAGTGAGTGGAAAGTTGAAATTTTGAGGTCTTTTTCCTAAAGGTTCAATGTAGAAAATACTGAAAACTCAAAGCGATTGAGTTATTATTAATGAAGTTATGATTTTTTAAAAATAATGATGTTTTGTAAAGTAAAACTTTACAAACAATTTTTTCACTCAAAAACTAAAGTGAGTGGAAAACTGAAATTTTGAGAACTTTTTAGGAAAAAACTCAAAGCAATTGAGTTATTATTAATAAACGTCGGAATTTCAGAACGTGTTGTATATGACGTATTTTAGAATGTCAAAACCAAACAAATTCTGTAAAAAAATATCCAGGTCCGTATTAGAGAAAATTGAGTTGATGATGGCGTTGGAAAACCGAAACGTCGAATTTCTAAAATACATAATATCACCACAGTAAGGTCTACGCAAAAGTGCTTCAATAAAGTTATCTTAATTTTTCTCGATTTATCAAAATAAATAAGCCTGCAAAAAAAAAAAAACAGAATAGCAATTTCCGGATATTTCCGAAAGTATTAAGAATTTCTCAGATTTTAAAACGTCATATTGTTAAACATGAAAATGCGTAACTTTTGTTTGATTTAACCACCCTCGATCGTATCTCTAAGGGTTACCGATATCCCCATGTTGGACCTCGAATTTGGAACACCATCAGGTTTTAAATAAACTCATCTCGAAAATGTCGTATGTCATGCGAATAGTCACGTAACGTTATCGTTGAAATAAAAGTCGTTCCCTTAGATTCCAGCAGTGGCAACAACGTGTTTTTACAGGAACTGGCGGGGTTTCCCCAAAAATCATGAAGCACAAGACAGCCGATTCCGACAGTGCGTCCGTTCGATTTTGTCTCTTCCCTGTTCTAATTTTGTAGACTTGTAGTTAGGTTTAATTAAATATTGGTATAAGGTGACATTTAAATCCTTATTTTATTCTCTAGACCAGAGCTGTAGGAAGCGGTGGTGAGGCCCCCATTTGCTGTTTAAGAGGGCGACGAATCCTTGTTCTTTTACCGATTTTAATGACTTCTTGGCAAAAATTGAGCACCCCTAAAATTTTTCCCTTCGTCGGCGGGAATTTGTTGCCCCTCCCAAATGTTTTTTCTGGGTACGCCACTGTCGCACTAACTTGAACTAAGATGTATGGCCGTTAGAACCGACCATTTTAAGGAAGCCTTAGCGATAAGTATTCCTTAAAATGACATTTCTACATGGAGAAATGTCACACAGGATGGCCTATCCTCATAAGGCCTGTGTGTAACAAATTCTTCCTTACCCCCCTATGCCAAACAACCAGTTGTGATGTAAGCAACATGGCGTTTCTCGCCTTGACGTTGGCCTGATTAAACAGCTGACGATTTAGTTATGACGTCGGCAATGGTTGAAAACAGTTGAAAACCAATATGGCGGCGATTACGAAAAACGAGGGTAGTGGTGGAGAACTATCGATAACTATCGATAGTATTGACTATCGAAATATATCGATAATTTTTTTCAACCATCGATAGTTTTCGATAGTTGGCTGTAACGCCCATTAACAAGCGAAAGTTAGGTTAGATGCACAAAACTGAACTGCAAAAACAAGAATCCTAAACTACTTACGATTGCTCATCCTCATAAAACGTAAGTTTGCCAGTTCTTGAGTGGGCAAGGTCTGCGAGTGACGTCACAATTATCAGTACCTTATAGCGGTGACGTCACCCGCAGGCCTCGATGGGATGCTTGCAATTCAGGCTGTGCTTTTGAGTTATTTTTTTTTGTCGATTTTAATGTATCTAGAAAAGCTGATTTTATAAATGGAAATTTTTTATAAAAAGCAATCTAAAAAGACTTTCAGTGTGGTGCGTGGTGCCATTATTTCTGACAAAAGTTCTTAAGAACGTTGAAATAATCGATAATAATAATGATTTTTATACAAAAATTCTAGGCTTTCAGAAAGGATATTTTCATTTTCGGAAAAAAGCATGTTCTCCGCAAATGATAGATGTTGATGTTTAAATATCATTAAACTATTTCCTAGAATCATATTTTTAGTACGTCAAAAAGAAAATAAGGTTTTTGTCTATCTATCTATCCTTTGCTAATTAATGTAATTTACATTCATATGACGTACAGATATCTTTAATATTTCCTTATTACTTGTAACTAATTACTATCGAAAACTATCGATATTAATCGATAGTCAAGGTCCCGACTATCGATAAATATCGATGGTCGAGACTATCGATAGTTCTCCACCTCTACTACAGAGTGTGTATTCTTCTTGGGGTGATCATACGTAGAGCATTTCGCTGTATTGTACAGCGTACAGCATTTTCAAAGTCAGTCCAGCATTTGACTTTGTACAGCAAACGTACAGCGATTATTTTTACGAAAAATTGTCAATTTTCCGTCAAACTAATGACATTTCTACATTTGCGATTTGCGTCATTTACGCCATCATCTTCCAGGGTCGGTTTCTCAATAGCAGGTCACCTCCAGGTTAAGGTAACTCCAGGGTAAACATTGCAACTTTACACATTAACCCTGGAGTTAAAACCAACCCGGGGGTGACTCGCTATTGCGAAACCGGCCCCCAGAGTATTCTTTTTAATGCTATCTACCTTTTTTTATCTTTCTCTATTCCTGCTAAAAAGAAGACACAGCATAATAGGTTTGTTTCTGCAGCAATCACAAACCAGTCAGCGCGAATTTCATTGGTTGAGAATAGTCAGGACAGAAAGTCAGAAACAGTCAGAAAACTAGTTCCAACCCAAGGTTCCTAAAGTTAATAATAGGTCGTCTGGTAATGGTAAACAGATGACGTCATCAGGAAGATCTAATAGAGGTTTGCATTATGTTTAGGAATTCACATGACGTCATATAATAATAATAATAATGCTTTATTGTCAGGAAAAAAATTTAACAGAATTTGTTGACAAAGCCTTAAAAATAATATACATCTATCTGTTTACAAAGTCAAAACAAAACAAACAGAATACATAAGTAGGTACATCGAGTTGGAGGTATAAAATAAACTAAATTAGTCTAATAAATTATTAACAAAACAAATTACCTATAAACAATGCTGCAGTGTGTGGAATGCTCAAAAGTATGTGTTCGCAAAAAAGTCATTTACCTTATAAAAGGCTTGCGGAATTTAGAAAGAGAAGATATGGACTTGATTTCTATTGGCAGATGGTTGTGCATGTTTTTTTGCGTTGTACAGAATAGAGCTCTTAACTAATTCTGAGGATGGGGTTGGCAGGTAAAGATCATGCTCCGCGTTTTCTAAGTGGATAATGATGGAATGGCCTTTCTGAAATGCTTGATAGGTGTTTGCGGATTAAACAGACTGACTCTAGTATGAACAAGGAAGGGAATGTCAATATTTTATATTTTTTGAAAAAAACTTGGCAATGGGCTCTATTCTTTAGCCTAAGAGAATAACGAATAGCCCTTTTTTGCAATTTAAAGATACGCTCAAATTGAGTCGCACCGCATGTACCCCATAAAGCCAACCAACCTCTTTCAATCAACCTTGATTTTATCCATTGAAGGTTTTCAATCAATGAAATTTACTCTGAAACCCCACTCACCTGTCCCAAAATTTTGGATGTGTACAGCATTCATACAAAAAAAATATGGTCACCCTAGTAAAGTGACGATCTTGAAAATCCAAAAGCAAGACAAAGTCACAAAGTTCTCAAAAATCTGGTTTCCATTTTCAATTTAGTTTTTTTGG